GATATATAGGGCCGCAAAACAATGCGATAACCTCTACCGATGTCCTTTGGCTCTACAAGAGGTTTCGGAAGTTGCTCATATGGTGACTAGTGGGAGGACCGCAGGATATTTTGGCATCCCGCAAAAAGGTGTCACTTTGTAGTTTCCCTTCAACACTATATAGCCAACTTCTGCAATGTTCAAACATAGAGACCCCAAAGAACATCCAAACGGGTTCGTCTTGAAATCTGAATGCTTTTCAAGTGATTGGGTTCCCCTCGTATCTCAACCGCTCCACCCAGCACATGTACTGTACCGTGGAAAAAGGCCCCTGAAAAAAGGGGGTTCAAACACTGGGTGGTTTTCCGTCGAGTCTCCCTGACATCCAGAAAGCCGGTGGGCTCCTGTTGGTTGAGCCAATAGCGGCTTAAAAAAACATGGCGCAAACCAGCCCTGCTCCCTAAGTTCCTGGATGTCCATCATATATTCTTGCCTGAGTTCCCGGATTTCATGCGTGGGTTTGCCAAAACACAACACAAACAACAGTCCGCCTGTTGGACCCCCAGAAAAACCAACACACAACGCGCCGCCTGGACCAAGGCGTCCCCCCCCCCACCAAATGCTGAGCTCCACAGGCTGCGCGGATGTTCTTCAAGGAGTGCGAGGCGGTAGACACCTCCAAGTGCGACTTCAAGTTTGAGGAGAAAGCGGCAGAGACGCCCACTTTTTGGACGGGTTTTACAGAGGGGTTTCTCCATTTGCTGGTGGGTTTACAGGGTTTCCTCAGTTTTGTTGCTTGGTTTTACAGGGTTTCTTCCACCTTTTCGTTCGTTTTCCTCCTTTTTTGTCGCTTGGTTTTACAGGGTCTCCCGCATTTGTTTGGGTTGGTCTTACAGGATTTCCGAGCCATTCCCTGCAAGGGGGCCTCCAAAAGTGGCGATCGTTTCAAGGAACCCCACAAGCAAGTTACAACTGTTGAATGCCGGGATCCTTCTTTTCCCATCAAAACTCTCTGGGAAACTGTTGTTCGAAAATCACGATGGTTGAAAAGACTGGGTAATCAACCCCAAACAAACTTTCATGTCGTACGGCCCATACGATTGTTTCAATCAAGCCAGGCCCCGCAGCCCCTTTTGGCTGGTTAAAGGGAAGCCAAGGGGAAATCATGTTCTCCAAGAGTTAGAGTCGTACAGCGCACAAAATCCATGCCGATCCGCAGGAGGAATTCCTGCATCCCATGTGCCAAATGGATTTGGTCCAAAGCGCATTGTGCCATTCGAAAACTAACAAAAAAAAAAAACAGTTTGGGTGGTGGTTCAACTGGGTTTCTCGGACTACGTTATGTTGTTTTTTTGAGGAGAGGTTTGTTCCCTGCGGGTTCTTCGCGGATAAGCGGGGATGTTCCCTTTCAATCAGCTTTGGAAAGGCCCTTGTTTGATTCGAGACTGTCCCGGGGGGCGCCGCTCTTTGGACCTTCAAAGAAACTGGTCAAATACCAACCAAAAACAAGTTGATTTGCTCTACAATTCCCTGCTGGTTTGATTTCCTGTAGAACTTCCTGTAGGTTTCTTGGATGGTTCGCCTTTTGGAAATTGAGGTTGTTCCCCGCTGACTTGCAAACGTTGAACTTTTGTTTGCGCAGGCCTTCTGCTCTTTGGATCTGGGGTGAGTTCCAACCAAAAGGGCAACTGGGAAAAGGGCTTGGCTTGGGGTAATTCACAAACCCGTGACAGGTACTATTGGTCAACTTGGTTGAAGTTAGATGGAGTTAATGAGGTTACCAAAGCCGACCTTTTGACCTTTTGAATGGCCGTTGCTGAGTTTGCTGCCAAATGAGTCGTTTCTCCCACTCGGCAACAAGCGAGACTCGGACCAATATTCCAGCTTTCTCCGGTGACAGGTAAGTTTTCGAAGGTGTCCTTTGGGCCTCCCTTTAGGTGTGAGACTGCGGCCGCCTCTGCTGCTCTTTCTCCCATGCTCCTTTGAGAACCCAACCATGGACACAGCGGCCTTCCGCGGAAGCTGGCGAGGGATGAGTGGTGAGTTTGAGCAGCCGAGAGCAGCCGAGAGCAGCCGAGAGCAGCCGAGAGCAGCCGAGAGCAGCCGAGAGCAGCCGAGGTGTCGTTGATTCCTTTATGCCAGGCTTTCTCCCAAAGGTTGCACATGACACCCGCCCGTTTGAGATCGATCTGGCCATGTTCGACTCCCTTACAGTTGCCTGTTGTACAGAACCCGAACCATTCACGTAGTTCAGGCAGTGAGGTTGTCCGCTTCTATACAGGGTCTGCCTGGACCCTCAAACTACCCCATGAACACTTGGATTTTTCCTCCAAATTGAGTTGGCAACAACCAACTCTTAAGGGCATTGGGAGGCTCCAGGTATGAACCATCTTGCGGTGTCTACCAAAGATGTGGACGGGCGGGGGCTGGTGGCCTCAAAGCCGGGCATCGCGTCGCAGCCTGAGCCTTCAGGAGCCCGACTTCGAGGGGCTCACGAAGTTCCTGGTGGAGGACGCGGAGA